GTAACGATATTTGAATAAAAATTGCCATGACAACCAGATAAACAACGATGTCAAAACATGTCAAATTTTGGTTTTAGGCTCGTAATAGAGAAACGGCAAGATTTAAGTGAAAGATGAGATATTATTGATATAGGAAAAAAGGTAGCGCAACAGTGCGCACGAAGCCCGAAATTGCAGAGTTACGGAGAACTAAATAAAATACCGAAAAAGGTAGACTCCATTGACACCGATTTAAAAAGTGCTGATAACGTGAAAATACGATGTGAAAATGATTTGTTATTGTGTTCTTATGGTTTAAAAACGTTACAGGATCCTATGAAAATAAAGGTGATGCAAAATATCCAGTTTTGAGGCTAATGCAGAAAATCAAAAACAGAATGGAAAAATAAATTTAAAATAGTGTAAAATGATATGTAAGTAGCATAACACTACATGGTATGAGTGTGTTTGGTAGCACTTTGTGTAACAGGCGTACTTAACTTCATGTCTTAGTTCATTAGCGCTATGATACGTGGAGTTTTGTTCACTAGCGTCTTAGTAGCGTGCTACTAACGTATAATCGTTGTTGTTATTTTTTAGTTAAAAACAATACACGCTCTGCGGTAGTAGCCGTGCTGATTATGCGATTGGTGGTGATGCCATACACTTACATCACGTCTGCAGGTCGCGGTGGTGTTGCTCACGGAGGGTTAACGGCCAGTGTGCCTATTTGCCTAAACCGTGTGACGTACATTCACTGTGACTGGATTCGTTAGTATTCTGTATGGTGTTTACACGCATTGACATGCGCGACTTCGGTCGATGTTTGTGATTACGCACTAACAAGGGGCCAAGCCTCTTTTACTGGTTTGTTTGTGTACTATGTTCCAGATTGTGGACTAAGGTCCAGATCCCGAATTAGCGTTCCCTAATCCCTAATCCCTAAATCGGGGGAGTGCATCAAAATGGTTGACGTTCATCGTGCACTGCGTGTATGGAGCCGCGTGCCTCCCCTACATTTTTTTTAATAAATGTAGGAAAGCGAAGCCCTTGTATCGGGTATTTTGTATAAATATATTGTGAGCCTTTTCCAAGCGAAAGGGGTAATTAATAATGTAAGCCTGTAACAAGTGGAATAGGGATGTTTTGTATTCTTAACCATTCTCGAGCTCTGATTTCGTGAACGGGGTTCACTTAGCTTATAAGGCACTACCAACAGCTTTCAATTGCTCTAGTGAATATATATTCTTCCAAAGATACATAAAAGAACAAAGTTATTAAACAAAAACAACGTAAATAAGGGTCCTAACTAAGATGATCACGCCAAATTATTACAAACATATCCCATTTATCCTGGTCACATATATATAATTTTATTGAAAGGGGGTAAAGCAAATTACTTATAATACATGTATATATATTTAATAATTGTATATATATATATATATATATATATATATATATATATATATATATATATATATTTTTTGATCTCTTTACGGTAAATGTTGATAAGACGCGACTTCACGCGAGCACTTTTTTGATCCGAAAACGCATGTTGATCCGGCGCCTTTTGTTGATCCAATATGCATCTGGTAACTAATGTGGCTCCGACCGGATCAACATCTGCACTCACGAGACTGTTTGCTAGCGTTGGCCGAAGTTGATCCGATATACAATTCCACCTTGCCATGGTTACGGAAAATGTTTATCCGATTTAAATGAGCCAATCAGAGCACAGCAAACGATAAGATAAACGATCGGATTGGCTGTATGCAGCCGCGACGTTGCCGTTTCGTATCTTTGGCGGTACAAGTTACAGATAAAATGCGTGTTATGAAATGCATTCAGGGTGCTGTTCGGTCTACCTCGTTATTGTAATGCGCCGGGTACGTTCGCGGATGCGCGTGTGAATTGTTTCTACACCACCATGCGTAAACGATGCACATCCCTGGTGCGCAGGGTGCGGGCCAGTTCCAATAGTATCCTGAGGGCATTTTCTGACAGGTTTTAGGGTCAGTACCTGAAACATTGCCATATTGTGCACGTGCTGACTAATTGGGCCTGTCTTATATATAGTTTATAAAATTAGGTAAATAGTTTTAAGTTTTACGAAAATTAGTTTTAAGATTTGTATTATTACTAACATCTATGATCCTTGTGGTCGAAATAAATGACTTTTTTTAACGAATTACTCGACATCGCCCCTTCTTGTAGCGGAAGTGGTGCCAACGGCGACATTAGGTATTCGTCTAAGTGCGTGTTTGCGTGCGTGCGTGCGTGCGTGCGTGCGTGCGTGTGTGTGTGTGTGTGTGTGTGTGTGTGTGTGTGTGTGTGTGTGTGTGTGTGTGTGTGTGTGTGTGTGTGTGTGAATGGGTGTGCGTGTGTGCATGTATGCACTGTTGTGTTTGTGTGTGTGCGTGCAGTGTGCATGTGTGAGTGTGTGTATGCGTTTGTGCGTGTGCGCATGTGTGCATGTTTGCGCGCGTGCTTGCGTGTTTGTATGTGTGTCTACATCTTCATAATCAATTTTTAAGGACACGTTTACAAAATTGATAGGTATAGAATTGTACTATTACATGAGATATTATCATGAGACCTTACCTTACGGTCTTGATGGAGTGACCTCAAAATGTAATTCGGGATTACTAGTGGAACTCTTGGACTAGTAGAACTGGGTGTGCTGAGTTTGGGCTCGTTTTGTTAGTTATGATGAGTCCTTACCTCCGGACTTGCTGAAGTGACCTGAAGGTGTACTTCGGTAACTAACACTGTAACACCTGGACTAGTAGAACTAGGTATACCGAGTTTGGGTTTGTTTTGTTAGTTATGATGTAACCGTCACAAAACAAAAGTTCTTTTCATTTGTCTCTTCTGATTGATCTTTGGGGGCAGTATCGATATCCACTTACCAGCCACACTGTTTTTCGCTGTAACCAACTGTCTTTTATATGAACCTCACTTGCCCTCACGCGGTAACCAATTTACTGCACTCCAGTGCACCCACCAACACCTCTGCCACCTACGCCTCCACATCTACCACCGCACCCCTCTCTAAGTATTTTTATATATTTCTTCACATTTCTCCTCTTCTTTTGTTAATAACTTCTTATTAGTGTAAAATTCAGTTTCTATTTCCCAGAATTTTTTTTAACAGACTATTATCTTCTTTGATATTTCTCCTTATGTGTAAACTTGTTATATATTGCGAGTTCCGAGCAGATGAATGTGGTTATTTTGTATTTGCTGAAAGAATCCAACCCAGGTGAGTATTTTGTGCAATTAAATTGCCTGGCCCTTTTAATAACTCTGAGAAAATTATTCTACCAAAAACATCTGCGCCGAGGAGAATATCTATTCTTCCCGGTGTATAATAAGAAGGATCAGCTAGATTCATTTTTTTTAATTTGTAGCCAATTACTAATTTGTACTTCCCTAGCAGGTAACCTACGCGTTAAAGATTTAAGTACAAATGCCTTAACCCGTAGCACCATACGCTATTTCTGGCCACACATCTATACACGTGGGGGGAGCGTGGTCTCCCAAAAAGAAAAATCATATATCAGTACCAATTTTTATTACTAGACCAGTTTTTTTTTTCAACTGAATAAATAATATACATTTTTCGAATGGTGTTAGAGTATTTATTTATAACTTTAAACTTAAAAATAGACATTTCTAGCGTCAAACAAAACAAGTTACAAAAATCACGTTAATTTTTAAGAGTTTATTTTAAAAACGATTATGACTTAAAATTAGAAACAAGAAAACAAATCGAGTCTTTTTTGTAGTTACTCATATCTTGCGAATTACAAATAATACATAAAAATCTACAAAACTACTTAAATGTCTAAAATCACAAGGGGAATGCACATAGTACTTAGCAAATATCAAAAATCATTAAGTTTAGGAACCTCATTTCAGTCTCAATATTTTCTATCAAAATATTGTACTTTAGCCTAATTAATACTTTCACTGACATGTAGCACATATTTTTACTCCTACTGAATGATTATGGCATACATTCTTCATACATTTTGAGCACACTCTTGAAGTGTTGCTGTCTTTGAGTCGTGGGCACAAATGACAGCGCGGTTTCTTTGGTCTCCTATTTTGGCTCGGTCCTTGTGCAGGTTGATCATCAGGTAGCTCAACACCAACCTCACGTAGAAACTTGTCAATCATATCTTTCAGTTCTTTTTAAAGATTTGTCACAGATCTTCTATTCATAACATGTGGAGTTACTAAAGCATATCCAAGTTCTTCTAAAAATTTGTAACGGCTCATACGCTTTTGAGGGTTTGACGCGCAATAGATAACATGACTGTTTACTCCTGATATATTCAACATCGCACAGAATATTGTAGTTGGCCTTCTTTGACTTCTCCTGTTGAAACTGTAAGCATCACACTTCTGGTCAAGAGCATCCACGCCTCCTTTTGTAGAATTATAAAATTCAGTATTCTCTGGTTTCTTAGTTTCAGGATTCGTTACAGCTTAATGATGCATGGATGATATGAGCGCAATACTATTGTTCTTTTTCGGTACAAAAGACACAAGTGTTTTATCTCTTTGAAAACCAAAGATTGACGGGAGAGCTGGCCTGCTTCTACTCGTATGAGGAAGAAATTGCAGAGGAATTTCTCTTTTATTCTTACGAATAGTGCCTACATAAGTTAGGCCTTTCTGTTTTAAAGCATCAACTAACTCAATCAATGTAAACCAATTATCACCAGTTACATTTCTGTTAGTTCAATAAATTGGTTCAGTCAGTGTCAAAACGTTCCTTGTTGGTATCAACAATGTAGATGTATTAGCTCGAGAAGTTGGCACTTTTCCTGAATAAATAAAGGTATTGTACAAGTAATGTGTTTTTGCATCACATAAAAACATTATTTTCAGTCCATACTTCGCTGGTTTTGATTTCATGTACATACGGAAAATGCAACGACTTCTGAAGGGAACGAGCATTTTATCAACAGTAACGTACTCAGAACAGCTGTAGTTAGTGATACAATTTTTTATAAACTTGCTAAACAATTCTGATATGAGAGCAAGCCTGTCTGTCTTTTTTCGTTCTTCTCGTGTAAGTTGTTCGTCAAATTATAGGCATGATGTGTGTGTCGATTTAGACTCATAACTGTTCTGAAAATAGGTCTACCCTTTGTTTTAGCTGACCATATGCCCCGAGTATCTTCTCTCGCAGATTTGAATATGCCTGTCAAAAACATCAACCCAATAAATGCCAAAATTTCCCCTCTTGTGACATGGTAAGTATAGGCTGAGTCGAATGTATGATTTTCTGAATAATTTGTGATTTTTTTATTAGTATGTTGTAAAATTAAGTCAATAATATCTTCAGTAAATAGACAAGACCATGCTTCCAATGGAGATATTTCATTTTTGGCTTGTGCAGGACCTCTAAGACCAGGTAAATGAATAATAATGTTATGTGCTGGCACCCGTGATCGTGATGGTGGTACTTTAGACCATTTGTACCTGTTTCTGCCATAAAAAGCATTGCTATTACGGCTTTGTGCATCGTTGTCACTTGAGTCTTCGTTTTCAGAGATACTTTCCGCTTCTTCTTCACTTTCAGTATTGTAATCACTGATTTCAGACTCCGCGTCACTCAAATCTGATGATGCATCAGGAAAAATGTCGTCATTCACGTTTTCGTCAGAGTCTAAGTCATTCAACAGATCTTGTATCTGCTGGAGATTCAAATTTTTATCCATATTGCGCCACAAACCTAAAAAAAGTAAATGAAACTACAAATAAACTAACATAATTACACTCGTGGGGGACTAGGCTCTCCATCAACTCGTACCTCTTGAACTAAGTACAGTAACCAGGTGCGCGTCCACTCTCCGCGAGACCTCAGGCGGCACTGGAAATACACGAAAACTGAACCGCGTTACGTTTCAAACACTTAAAATATTTCTGAAATTGTGAGTGGTGGGGGAACTCACTCCCCCACGTGTGGTGTTAAGGGTTAATATCTAAACAAAAATTAGTATTATATCTAGACCTTACTTCTAAATCCACCATGTGATTAATTAAAAGATTGTTCATCTCACCAACTCCAGAGAACACGCCGTTGATAATTGATTTTTTCAAACCCAACACACCACCCGACCACCCTCGATGTGACGAATGAAGCCTCTGAACCTTGGTCGATTAAAGCACGGAAGACGTGCGATGTTCCTGTAGGTGCGATGACATCTACTAATGCTGTGGCCAACAACATGGTTTGACACGATTGTTTATGATCATACGTAGATGTGTGTGCTGATACTTCAGTTTCTCTGTTGTTATGTATAGTTTCTTGTGTATTATTTTTCTTCTCCGCGCTTAGGTTCTCTCGATGCAGTAAGGAGTGATGTTTTCTTTTACATATTTGACATGCTGTTTGTCGTTTGCATTGAACTATATTATGATAAGGTATAAGACAATTGAAGCAAAGTTTGGTTTTCTGAACAAAATTGTACCTTTCTTCGATTGGCAGTTTGCAAAATTTTTGAAAATTAAAAATATAATGAGGCTTTTTACAAAATGCACATTGTATTTCGCCGGTAGTGGTGGTGTGAAATGTTTTAGGTTTCATTATTTTAGTCGACTTGTTTGCAGATTCAACCATTTCCAGGGTTCGAAACCGACAGTGTAAAAATGATTTTAACGTTTCAAAATCAGGCAAGGTATCCGAACTTTCTTTACCAGTTGTTTCTTCCCATTGTTTACGAGTTTCAGCGTCCAATTTTAATGTAATTATATAGTTTACAATAGCATCCCAATGTTTAGTTGGTAAACCTAGATGCTTTAAAGCGTTAAAACATTCGACTGACGTGTCCAATAATTGCTTTAAGGCATATGAAGATTCGTGTGAAAGTGCACGTTGACCAAAAAATTTCTTAAAGACTGAATTAGCTATAAATCTTTCTCTCACCTTTGTAGGTATAATACAGTTCTTCGAATTTATCGAAAATCTCGTTGGTGAAATACGATAGCCGTTTCCTTTCTCCTCTTGTTACTGCCGTAATTAGTTTCTCATGGTCACTCTTAAATTCTTTCCAATATTTTTCTAACGTATCTATTCGGGTTTCTAAATGAGCTGTAGTTATCCTCTCTTTGGGAGACTTTTTATAATTCGAGTACGCCCTTTCTACCCTCTCGTAATAGTCCGTTTGGATCGCCATTATTTTCTCACCGTTCTCCATATTGATATAAAATTAAAGTTAAATGTCCAAAACATTTGATGACCACCAAAATACACCTTTATTTAATTTATCTTAAACTTTAAGTGTCCGTAATTAATGTCGTCAACTTACACTTTATTACTTATGTATTTGTAATTATATTTTTATTAATATTGTGTTTAGAATTTTAAAATAATATTGTCTTTTTAAATAAATTGTGTTGCACTGTTCAAACAATTATTATTTTCGTATTTTTAACACTCCAAACTGTCCTTTGTTTACAATAATGTTCTCGACGCTGTCCGTAATCTCGGGTCGATGGACCATAAGATGTTAGCGTTAGGGTCTATTTTTGTTTGCAGGGGCGGAGTAAAAGAAAACTATGTGTTGGTTGCACTGGTGTTTATTTGCTACTAATTGCTTTCTTACTTACAATTGACACCTGTTATAGGTGACGCTGAGATGACATTCAAATGCACAGAACATATTTGCATACTTGCGTTACTGGCGGAATTGCTTATTATAAAAACAACAATTTACTGAACAAGACCTTTTATATTCACTGTGTAAAGATTGACTCTTGTTATATTTACCTACCTAACTAGTTTCTTGTCTTTGAAAAGAAATAAAAAGTGTTATTTTAGCCAGAAAATATGAAAAATATAGTTGATAATAAACGTTGAAAATAATCGCATCGTACGATCGTGCCTAATGTCAACTTAACGTGTACAATTTGTTACTAAATAAGTAGTAGTACTCATATAAAATGAGTGCGAGTGAAAAAAATGTACCTTAAACTGATATTTTTAATTTCTTATTTATTCAGAAGTCCACATGGTTACATCGTTAAAAGCTATATCACTTTTATACAGATCGAAAAATATTATTGAAAGTATGTTATTTATTATGTCGTGTATACAGAATAATTTAAAACTACATTATAAGAGTTATCAACTTTACACAACGATACATTAATTTATTTAAACATTTAAAAGAATTTTTTTTATATTTTACATAATTTATTATATAAATTAAAGGTTTAATTCCTTAAAAAAAATTAAAACTTATAATGATATTGAAATGTTTCTAACACTTTAAAATTTGGATTCGAAAAAAAAATCAACGAAATGTATCACAGTGTTATTTTAAATCAAGTGCGTAAAATTGTAATCTATTATTTTATTATTTCATTAATTGTTTGGCAGGACACAGTAAAAAAAATATTACAAAACTATAACTGCATAAATGGGGATATAAAGTGGTCTTGCGCCTTAATAGAAGTGCCACATAAGTGCTTAAAATTAAACTTAATTTTTAATATTGTATTATAATTGTTTTTTTAATTGTAGGTAATAAAATATTTGATAATGAAGTATATTGTGAATAATCTGACAAATAATTTCAACTTAATTATATGTAAAATACAAAATATTTAATATTTAACTTTAAAAACATAGCAAAAAAAAACCAATTTCAAATTGTTAAATAAAGTTTGAAATAGGATTAAAATCACATAGGTGCGAAGTTACCTCATAATTTGTTCTTTTCGGCTCAATTTTTTCTATCTTCTTATCGGCTAAGGCTTGCAGGACTTAAGTTTCTTCTATTTTTCTTAAATTTGTGGTCTCACTATCTAATTCGTTTAATTTTCATGTAATCTTTCCCGTTTTTTTCGTTATATTTTTCTTCTTTTTCTAATAGATTTTATTAGCATATCTCCTTAAGGAAAGAATAACCCCGTCGCCTCTCCTTATTTCTCTGTTTCGGCTTACTTGTCACATATACGGTAGTGTCAATTCAATAGTTGAAAATTGTTCCTTTAGTTTTATATTAATTTTTCCATTTTCCTTTAACTATTTATACAGGCCTCGGCGGTGCGCGTGCATTTTCGCCGCGCACCGCCTGGCAGGGTCGCCATGTAATATAGGAAAGATGTCAAACGAAGGAGACGTGTGGTTGGTACTAAAACTTTAATTAGACTGCTCTCTTAAACTTAATAGTAAGTACATTTATTAATATATGCTAGTAGGGTGGAGGAAAATACACTACAACATCTTCATAATCAAGATTTTTATGGAACGCGTTTACAAAATTGATAGGTATAGAATCGAACTATTACATGAGATATAATCATGAGAACCTATCTCCGGTCTTGATGGAGTGACCTGAAAATGTAATTCGGGATTACTACTGTAACACCTGGACTAGTAGAACTAGGTACGCCGAGTTTGGATTTGTTTTGTTAGTTATGTGAAACCGTCACTAAACAAAAGTTCTTTTCACTTTGTCTCTTGTACCAATGGGTAGCCAGCTGCTATTCGGAAAAATAGATAACCTCGTAGTAACATCTTTATGGGCAGTATCGATGTCGCGTGTGCGTGTGCGTGTGCGTGTGCGTGTGCGTGTGGCGTGTGCGTGTGCGTGTGCGAGTGCGAGTGAGCGTGCAGCGTGCGCGTGCGCATTTCGGGGCGTGCGCGAGCGCGTGCGTGTGTGCGTACGTGCGTGCGTGCGTGCGTGCGCGTGCGTGTGCGTGTGCGTGTGCGAGCGTGCGTGCGTGCGTGCGGGCGTGCGTGTGTAAGGGTGGGGGGGGTGCCATTTAGTGCGCACGCGTTTATTTGCGCGTGTGTTTGTGGTGTGTGTGTGTGTGTGTGTTTTGTGTGTGTTTTATGCGAGTTTGTGTGTGGTGCGTGTGGGTGTATGGTGTGTGTCGTGTGTGTGTGTGTGTGTGTGTGTGTGTGTGTGTGTGTGTGCGCGTGTGTCCACTGTTGTTTTGTGTGAGTGTTTGCTTGTGCGTGTATGTTTGTTCGTTCGTGCGCGCGTGTGTGTGTGAGTGTATGTGCGGGTGTGTGTGTGTGTGTGTGGTGTGTGTGTGTGTGTGTGCGAGCGCTCGCGTGTATGTGTATGTGTGCGCGTGCGTGTGTATGTATGTGTGTGCGCGCGCGCGTGTATGTATGTGTGCGCGCGCGTGTGTTTGTATGTGTGTGTGTTTGTGTCTGTGTTTGTGTGTGTGTGTGTGTATAGTGTAGGTGTGCGTGTGTGTTTTTGTATTTATGTGAGTGCGCGAGAGCGCGCGTGAATGTATGCGTGTGCGTGTGCATGCGTGCAAGTGTGTGTGCGTGCGTGTGTGCTCGTCTGAGTGCGTGTTTGTGTGTGTATATGTGTGTGTGTGTGTGTGTGCGCGCAGAAAACGGAGGCGGAGAATGGCGACGAGGTGGAGGCGGAGGTGAATGCAGCGTAGTATGTGGTGAAGGCGGAGGAGAGGAATTTTTGGTGAAGTCGGAGATAGTTGAAACGGGGAATTGTGTTGGAGGCGGAAAGAATAGTGATGGCGCGTGGTGGTGACGGCGGAGGGAGCGGAGTCATTGTTGAGGCGGATGGAGCAGAGTTGATGGTGGAGGCGGAGGAAGCGGAGGTGGAGAACGAAGGCTTAGAGAGGGGTGCGGTGGTAGATGTGGAGGCGTAGGTGGCAGAGGTGGTGGTGGGTGCACTGGAATGCAGTAAAGTGGGTACCGCGTTAGGGCAAGTTAGGCTCATATAAAGGA